TGAATGTGCACGATGTGTCTTCCGACAAATCTAGCTGCTATGTCTTCTCTTCCTAGAATAGTTCTCATGGCTATGGTTGGTTCGATATGAAGGATCGAATGCCATAACTCAAGGTACTTGTTCTGGATTTCGCAGATGTTCTCGTAGGTGTCCTGGAAGTGTTTTCGGAGGTCCTCTTGAAAAACACCTGTGGCATATTGTAGATGATCCTGAGCGATGCGGCGGGGAATATTGTTTTTGAAATTTTCTTCGGCATCAAACTTAGAAGCGATGTAATTTGCTTTCGCGTTCAAGTTCTGCTCGTCCAGATCTTGGATGGATCTTCGTTCTACAACAAGAGTTTGTTGGAACTGCGGTAAGAAGGTAGTTGATGGCACGTGAAGTTTGGTGGTCGAAGAGGCGGTACTACTTTGTTTCGTGGCAGGCGGTGTTGAAGTCGTTCGCGGCTTGCTATTAGTAGTACTGACGATAGTGACGGGACGAGTAGTGGTCCAGATCGTAGTCGGCGTCCGGGCAGTCGTAGAAATGTGCTGCTTGGGAGTGCTGGTCGTCTTGGTGGCACTAGTCGTGTTTTCTTCGATTGGTCGGATCAGCATGTTAGCAGGAATTTTCAGTGAATAACTCATTTCCGAGGTGGGGTTATTCACATAGGGTGTGAAAATTTGGACTAGCAGTTGTTGAGAATATTGGTCAGGTGGTGTGAATGATGAATTAGGAGGATAAGGTACTCCGAAGTTGTCGTCACTGTGTTGAGTGAGGCGTTCGAAGTTCTTGATGTCCGGGAGTCCAGTCAGGTTGGCGAAGATGGCATCGTCGCGTTCGGCGAGTTGAGGATTGAACTTCAGTTTCTTGAGGGAAGTGAGTTCTGTTACCATCTCCTTGACGTCGCTGAGCAGTTGGCTGATGGCTGTGTTGACTGACTTCGTTGCTGGTTTGGCGGACATGAAGGCGTGTAGTACTTGGTCCACTGATGGAACTGAGAAGGATGAAGATACTGGTCCCGGCGTGAAAGTGAGGTTTTGCGCAATATTCTCAGCTTTCTCGCGGTA